TTTCCTTCAGAATTTTGCAACTCGGGTGACGGTGTCCGGACACGTTTGGAGCCAAGGGTTTGGGGGATACACCTCGAATCTCATTCGACTGGTATCAGATACCTCTTTAAAATATATGACGGCCAGTCTTGTGGCTTAATGAGTTTAACGTTTTCTTACTTGCCTGGATGCCTCGGTTCGAGCCCCCTCCTATCGATTTTTCATTAATGGCTCCTACTGAATTGATTTAAGCATAAAGTATCATTATTTTTACACGAAAAATATACTCCGAGGAACGTTCGCATATCGATTCATTGATTCTAGGATGGGATGACCTCCCGTCATCCCAGTGATGTTTGCATACAGCACAAACTGCCGGTCAGCCAATGAAGCCACAAGATACCAGGAATTTAGGTGCACCAGCCAGATATTCCATCTGGAACGAGAATAATGAAAGAGGGAGTGTAGGCACCCGAAGTAGGAGGAACGTTTAGCAAAAATCTCAGGGCACCGTAACCCATCACAAGTGAAAGACACATAGTTGATTTCTGTTTAAATTAGCAGTTAAGGCGTGAATTCCCTTTCAATCGGGAGCGGTGTGGGGTGAAAGGCGTCGTTGACAAGCGCAAATTAATAGGGGCGAAACATCAGTCCCTTTTGGTTAAGTAATCATTCTTCTGCATTAGACTGATGTTCGATCCGAGTAAACACGCCTAGCATTGCCTGGACTGCCACGGAGACAGTCTTTCCGTAGCTCCGCCCATAAAACCCCTGTTACCATGGTTCCCGTATTGGTCGCGCTTGGGCCTCTCCATTTCCCAAGAGGCTTTACTGGATAAGATTTACACAAGCTACTGAGGCCGTCGCTCACTATTCCCATCTACTGGGTTTTACCTGGTACATGTCCCCTTGCCTTTTACATGCGGCAGGGATCAGGTCGTGTGTGGCACGTTTAGACGGAGCGTCTTGGCATTGTCTAGTCGGCGGAGCAAGGTGGGTGAGTGAGCGCAGAGTTTGTGGTTTGGCGGAATTTCGACGAAAACTTGCGCGCCGGTCACATATAACTCTCAGAGAACCCAGCGAGTTAGATTAGCACTCCAAGGAGTTTGAATTTTAGTTTGGGGCGAAGGCTTGCGCACTGGCGAACAAAGGAGATACCAGACCTGGCGGGCAAATTAGATTGTGATAGTTGTCTGCAGAACTCCACGACTACGACAAAGCGACTAGGAGTGAGTTTTGGTCTAGTGACGTATCTGGCGTCCGTGTCCTGCCAGAACCCATTCCTCTATTGAGGGGAACCGCACTTCACTCAGCTGTTTGTCTGAAAACACACTGCTAGTCCCGCCCTTACGTCCGACACAGATCACGCATTTCGGGCGGGCAGTCACATACAGAATTGTGGAATTATAATAGACCAGAGTGGAACTCAAAAAATACAGATGATGCAAAAGAATATCAGGCTCGTTGTGGCTCTGTTGTATTTTCAAATAAGGATAATATATTAAGAATTAAGGATTAATATATTGAGAAATGGTCATTCTGGTCTCCCTTGTCTTTGTCGGTACCATCTCATTTACTTCCACTGCTAGTCGCTGTGCAACTGCCCGCAAGTATGAGCCCCAAGGCACAACGGAATGAGCACGTTCCGTAACTTGATCGGTGAGCGCCCATCGCCTATAATTACTATTCCCGATCACAACTGACGAGAACGGGCCCGTGGCTCAATGTTAGAGTGTCAAACTCCATGACCAAAGATCCTGGATTAGAATCTCAAATGATCCACACTTGGGGTTGGGTATGACTGGCTGATGACGGCTAATAAGCCAGAAACGGCCACTCCGTTTTCCCTTGTCTTTGTCGGTACCATCTCATATTAAGTTATATTTAGGCAGTATGTTATTACCGACAAGGACAACGGAGACTGGAATGGCCATTTCTGGCTTATTAGCCGTCGTCAGCCATTCATACCCAACCCCGAAGTCCACGCTGGGCCACGAGCCCATTGCCATGTCGGTTATATTTAAAAGTATTATACAATAACAAATCCAGTAGACAAATTTTCAATGTACGACGACTAAATATGAGGAAGAGATGAACGTAAGTGAAGCAGGCAAAGTTTGTGGTTTTGGCCCAACATTTTTGTCATCAAACCTGTCAGAGGGGATTTGAGGGCACAATCTGCCACTCTGGTGTTTACAGTGGCTGTGCCCCCACAACAGGCTTCGCTGGAGAGTGCGCATCCCACAACAGATGCCACATATTGGGGAGGGAGAGGGGCGTAGAGACGGCGGGGTGTGTTGGCGTAGTCCTCACGCCGCACTAGCCACCTGCACTCTCTCCCAGCGGACTGGTGCCTGTGAGATATATATATATATATATATATATATATATATATAACGCGCTCGAATCTATCACGGCGCGCTGGAAGTCGTAGCCTGGGAGGCCGCCGACTGGCGGGGGCAATTCAATCCTCTCAGTACGGAGAGTCAGACTCAATGTCTCCTTCTGAATGCGGCCCCTATGGCACTCCCACTCAGATGGGATTCGAGTCGCGCCCCTTGGTTCTGTGATGCCTTGTGCCTGTCGGGATGTTTAACCTTGTCGGCCACTACGCTGGATCTCCCCGCTCCGGTAGTTCTGACTTCGTCTTGCCACCGGTGCCAGATGAGGAGGGGAGAGTGAGGTAGATGCTGTGCAAGTCAGCCGTCACTAGAACCTAATTCACGTGCAAGTCGCCATCCTGCGCCCACCACGCTGTGGGGCGCACGGCGAGCATCAGCTCCCGTGGGGTCGAAATGTCGGTCACAGCCGCCCGTCTACTCGCGCCACACACACGCCACGCATATCCTGACTCCACATGCGTCGGGCTTCATACCGGAGAAGGTCTCGGATATCACACAGGTTTCTGTGCTGTAAATACTACACTAAGAAGGCCTCTGCGGTCTGTTATGTCGTTGCTTGGCGGCATTCCATGACACCACAGTCAGCGCGTTCGGGTATTTTCAAGGGAACTTTTCTTGTTTATTTTAGCGGATTTGAGCGCTGCATGCTAGTTGAATTGACCTCGCTCACATCCCTCTTTCCCATGCACCAGTGGATTTTTTTTCGAGCCAAGCCGACTGACGGCGACGTGAAGTCTCCATCTGACGCCGCAAAGGCCACCCTCATTGCAGTCATGATAGACTTAAATGTCTCACACTCAGTGAGATGGGGCGCGCCGATTCAAGGATCGGCCTTGCCTGCCCTTCCCTCCCCCACTCACCAGTCGGCTCTCCGATCCTCTCTCCCAATGGGGGATGGGATTGGACTCAGTGACTGACCAGACCCCCTTACGACCTATTCCCTCTTCTCCCATGTGCCATTGGCCCGTTCAAGACTTTCAGGCAACTGGCGATGAGATCGGACCCGCTGTTTATCTGACCTGAAAGCCTCCGTCTCAGACGTGTTCCACGGCGGCAGTAATTAAGGACTCAGCACTTGCCGATTAATGCACGTCATTGGCTTACGTGGACCCGTCTGCGTCCGATGCAAAATCAGCGCGCGGTAGTGGTCTTAGACAGGGGTCGGTGCAGCTTGTACGAAGTAAATGCGAATCTTTTTGACCAGCGGAATGTCGCGACTGGCCAATGCATAGCTTCCAAAGTTCGCGAAAACTCCACTGTTCGCATCAGCGTGTTCGAAACTGTCACAGTGAGCCACGCATGTCCCCAGGCAACGATGTTCGTCGTTGAGTACCATAGGCAAACTGACTTAGACGATACTTCAACATTCCTTGTTCTGATCGTGCACTCAACGCAATGACCGGTAATACGGGCAGTCATCTGTGCCCTGCTTACCCACCGACTCCGGTGACTTGAGTAGACCTACAGTGCGTGACGGATCTCATGAAATGTTGGCCAAAATTCTGAAATGCGTTTTTTGATTAGGAAGGATCAATAAGGTGGAGTTGTGATATTAATTATCTTGTAGCATAATCCTATAGTATTTCGGACTCGCCAGGATGTCGGTTTTGAGTGCACTTCTTTCTGACCTTCTGCAGAAATCGTACTTGGTAAAAAAATGACTACTTAAGTAGCATACGTTTTTCACATTGATCTTCGAGGGTCGTGCGGATTTAAATATATTGTATAGAAAACATACACAAAGATATGCTTTCCTTTACTTCTTTGGTAGAAAACCATACTGTTTTTATATTTCATGCTCTAAGGAAGGTTATCTTTCGGTTTTAAAAAGTTTCTAATTATGTGCTTTTTAATACTGCACGATGTCCATAAATACAGCATCGCACATGTCCGTTTACCAATGCTCCTCATGAAATGTACAGCATAGTCCGCGTCCATTGCACAATTTTATGAACACCATATAGTATCTTCTTAGTGGCATAGAGGAATATATGATTTTCCTTACGCAGAACGCATGCAGCTTCTTGGCGGAAATCGCTAAACGCTAATGCAACGACCGATCAGGCTCAAAATTGTTTTGGAATTGGTAAACTTTCAAAGCCTAAATGTACGCTTTCTTCGGGCATAAAATATGAATACAATGTGATTTCCTACCAAATGAGCAAAAGAAAGCATATTTTTGTGCATGTTTTCTGTACAATGTATTTAAATTCGCACGACCATCAAAAATCAACGTGAAAAATGTATGCTACTTAAGTAGTCATTTTTTTACCGAGTACGGTTTCTGCAGGAGGTCAGAAAGAAGTGCACTCAAAAGCCGACATCCTGGCGAGTCCGAAATATTATGGGATTATGTCGCAAGATAATCAGTATCACAACCGCGCTTAAGTAATCCTTCCTAATCGAAAACGCATTTCACAATTTTGGCCACCATTTCATGAGATCGGTCACGCACTGTACAGCCTGGCACCCTTCGAAGATGAAACCGTCTGCAACACTGTCTTGTCAAACTCGGCGCCGTGGTTCCCCCTTCCAGGGGCACCCGCATTTGGCTTTTTGAGAAACCCCATGCTACAGCGTCCACTTACTTACTTTTGTTTACCTAGGCCCACGCCCTCGATGCCCCGCGTAAAGGGCAGACCCAGACACTGCGACCCATTCGACGATGAGGGCGCCGACCGCGTCCCAGAGACGGATCGCTCCAAGGATGCTACGGCAGCGGCAGCAGCATCGATAGAACGCACAGTCCCGACAATTTTCAAGTGCGAAAAGGCCAAAACGTCACCTTTGGACAGCACGAACGAGGACGGCGAACGTGAACCGAACTCAGGCAGTAATGGAGTTTTACCGAAGTCCACCACCACCACCTCCGTTCCTGCTCCCTCGCCATCGCCCACGCCTGCCCCACTTCCACCGTCAGCAGCGGATCCGACCCCCCCTCCTCCCCCTCAATCCTCAAAGCCTGCCAATCGCAGTAAACGGAAGCGCAAAGCTGAGGAGACCTCGAAAGACTCCGCCGAGATAAGCAAAAAGCCGGTCAACATCAAACCAAAGAAGGTGGAGCAGAGCACCGGCGAGGAGGCACAATCTGCTCACCCAGTGAATTTCCAATTGAAGCCGGCTGAAAAGCCGGCCCAAGTTTTGCGACCACTGAGACCCCTACCACAACCAGTCACCAAGTTCGTCCTCCCCGCGTTGACACCGCGTCTGACAAAGGTGGATCGTGACAAGGTGCTGACCACCTGCTCTGTGTGTTCAAAGGTCCTCCGCAGGGGATCCCTGCGTGAGCACATGGACAGGCATGAGAACAGCGGTAAATTCGAGTGTCTCACCTGTGGAAAGAACTTCAGTCGAGCCAGCACCCTGGAGAAGCATGTCCGTGCGCACACCGGCGAACGACCCTACCAGTGTCGCCTCTGCCCAAAGGCCTACCGGCAGAAAGTGCATCTGGCGGAACACATGCGGTCGCACACCGGCGAGAGACCCTTCGTCTGCCGCCTCTGTGGCTTCTCTGTGACCTCGAAGTCGCTGCTGAATCGGCACTTGAGGACTCACGGAGTGCTGACCTCGGCCAATGATGTGCCCGAAATGTGGTTGCGCACCGATGCACCCACGGAACAGGTGCTTGCTGCGGCTGCTGAAGTCGGACGCTCATTGGTTGAATTGACGCAGACGGCGGGCGAGGCCGAGGAGCGCAAGCCCTGCGTCCTGCGAGTCACCGCGTTGAACGGGACCGCAACGGTGGCGGCTCTGGCGCGAAGGCACTTGTGCGATGTCTGCCCCGCTGGGTTTCCCACCCTCCAGGCTCTGCGCAGCCATCGGTTGACGACACACGGACTTGCCACCCTCCATGTCTGCCCCACCTGCGAGGCCTCCTTCCCTTCGACCAAGTCCCTGAAGGTTCACTGTCGCACCGACCACCCACAGGTAAGTCTACAGATCCTTTGTGACCTGCGTCCAGCCGCAATCTTCAGTTTCCCCCGATTTTGGTGATGCTCGATAGCCTAGGAGTAGTTGAACCTTCCCCGTCACTCAAACCTAGGCGTCACGACAAAGTCAGTTGCGTTTGGCGCAGTCATTATCGATCGATTAAAGCTAAGTGTTAACTTGTTCTGACTAACCCTCGCGGACTAAATGAAAATTGCTAATTAGGTTACATTGAAAGTCCGCAGTTCGATCGGGAGAGCTATTATTATCTGCAGTTACTTGCCGTCTGATGCAAACCCTGACCTTCAACATTGCCGTCACGTCGGTACTCAGACAGTTCGCCGACCGACCGAACGGCAGGTGATGTGATTGAGACGCGAGAATTAAGCCGGATCTACAGTAGAAGTTCCAAAATGCGTTTCCCTTTCGAAAAGATTAGTTAACTAGGGTTGCAAAACTACTCAGCCTGCAACATAATTCTATAATATTGCTGCTACCTCAGGATGCCGGCTTTCGAATGAACTTCCTTCCGACTGCATGCAAAAACTACGCTCTGCAAGAAATGACTACTT